GTTGGGGGGTAGTACTATACTTGGATAAATATTTTTACTTATGTATTTTAACTGAAATATCGGCTTCATTCACACAATTATTGAGTCCGGAAATGAGACCACATTTTAAAAAGCAGTTGAAACGAGCTCACCTCTGACACTCCTCAGTGCTTCAGAGAGAGATAATAACAGATCCAGGCAGGTGACATGACGTGGAAAAGCGGGGAAAGCAGTCCTGCACCTTAGTAATGATAGCAAACTAATGACATTAGCGTGTGACCGGGCCGCTCCTCTAACAACAGCAAACACATGTTCGTCTGTAATGGCTGCCGTCTACCAGTGTTCTGAAAAAGTTTGTATCCCTGAAAAAAGTTTCCCCACCAGAGGGAGCGCTCGTGAGAAGGAAGTAATCTGCTTTTCCTCCACAAGATGGCCCAAATCTCATGTGAAGTCTCTGACTTTTGTGTTGGCGCCTCCTGGTGGACTATGTGTAAAATGCCAGAATTCATATGATGATGCTACAGCTGATATATATTTGTTGTCAAAATACATTTCAGTACATATGTTGTTAAAATAAAATAAACAGTCCAATGATCATTTTATTGATATGTATAAAGACTGCAAAGGCTGAAAAATCTTGAAGTCTGTATGAAATTGGAGGTAGTTTGAGGATTAAATTTTTTATGCTTTTTAAGCTCAAAAAAGTGGGGGTCGTATTATACATGAGATCGTATTATACATGAATAAATACGGTACATTGTGTTTGTGAAGGAATTTTTTTTATTCCAAATACACTAAATTTAAAGTTGAGTATATTTCCTGACTCTGACACTGGGGGTCTCTGCGTCTCAGGATGGAACTGTGATCGTTCACACGATCCGGCGAGGACAGTTCCTGCGGACGCTGCGGCCTCCGGGTGAAAGCTCCGTGCCTTCGCAAATCTCCGAACTCCAAGTGGGCATGGAAGGTCACATGGTGGTGCAGACCTCTCAGGAGGAGCGCCCCCACAGGAAGGTACTGAAATCTGCCCGCCGCAGGGCGCACGGTCCACTACACTCGGTTTGCTTCTGATCTGTACGAATGTTCACGTTGTTTCACAGGGCAAGTACTCTGTTTACGTTTACTCTGTGAACGGCCAGCTGCTGTCCTCCTTCACCACGGAGGAGCAGATGAGCGCGCTCCTCCTGGTGTCTGAATACGTCATCCTGGGGACCAGGCAGGGCAGCCTCCACATACGAGATTTATTCAGGTAACCACTTTCGAAGCTTTTTAAACCAAATCTTATGTAAAGAAATGGCCACGTTGGAGCAAAAAAGTAACTTGAAAAAAATAAAGTAAAAGTAAAATTGCATGAACAGAAAATGACTTTGGTAAAAAAAAAAAATTAATGTCGCTGATGAGAAAACTACTCAAGTAAAAGTTATAAAACTTCACAAAAATTGGGAAAGTAAAAGTAAAAGTACTTTTACACACTCTAAGAAATAAACTGTTGAATTTACTGAACCAAACTGGTTCCACTAAACCAGGTTCAGTAAATTGAGCAGTATATGTTTATTCTTTGCTCAGTTTACTCAACTAGGCTTAATGGAACCAGCTGACATGACYTTGTTGAGTAAATTCAACTCTTCATTTTTT